GGGTCACCGCGCCAACACCTCCGGGCGGGGCCCACAGCGCCCGGCATCCCGCGGCGGGGCCGGGCGGGCACAGCGGCCACCGGGGCCGTGAACGGCGGGCGGCTCATTAGCATATCGCTCATTAGTATTCAAGTGATTTGCATGCGCCGTGGGCCGGCAGCGCGGCGGGCCGCGCGAGTTCATTAGCATATCGCTCATTGGTATTCATATTTATGTCTGTACCCAAGGTGCAGTGCGCGCAGTGCCGCGGCCCCGGTGGCGCTTTCCGCCGCCGCTCCCCGGAGCCGCCGCGTCCGAGCGCGGCGTTGGATCCGTGTGTGGGGCCAGGGAAACGGAGTGGGGTGGCAGGGGGCCGAGCCTGCGTACCCCCGCGGTCGCCATGAGCTCTACAGGAACAATTGGGAGTGGGTATGTGCAGGGGAAGAAGTAACGACATACTCTGGTTTCTCTTCAGATCGTATAAATCTTTCGCCTTTTACTAAAGATTTCCGTGGAGAGAAACAAGCACGAGTGCTGAAAAATTTTTTGAGGCTCCATTTCGGTGGAGCTATCCCTATTCTGGTTAAAAATAGAACAATGTAATGTTGTTGGCTAAGCCAAACATCCGCAGGATTACAAGAGGTGGTGCTGTGTGTCCTGTCCTGTCCTGATAGATTCCAACTCCCACTGTATCTTTACTAGACTTAAAGGGTAGATTACTGGGATTGGCTGGATAAGTGCAACCTGAGATCTGAGGTCAATTTGTTCTGATGCCTAAATAGGAAGAAAATAATTCTTCAATTAATATTATTGTAGATAAGGTAGACAGCAGTTCTTTAATGAAAGCTTTCAGGTACACGAAGCACACAGGCACGTGGACCCACCCAGACAGAATTCTCACTCTTTTATCACTTCAACGAATTACCATATCTAGTGGGCACATCCAACCTGAAAACCATTTTGCCCCTGGTACCACCCTCAGAACTGCCCCGTTGGAGCCCCCTCCAAGGGTTCAGGGCCCTCTACCTTGTTTTGACTAAAATATATCTTATTATCCCAAACAGGATGTCCTTGCTAAAAGATCTTTCCTTGGAAAAATTGCTAAACAGTAATTCATTGGAATGTTGCACAAACCATGAGAAAAGACTTTACTAACTGTCTAAAGTGTCTAAGGTGAAAGAAAACTATACAGCTATATTAAAACCTACAAAATGCCTAAAAGTCTTTAGGCATCAGTTCCACACTGAGTGTGGATGACACGCTTGAAGGACAGGGTGCCATCCAAGGGGACCTGGGCAAACTTGGGCCCACGAGAACCTCGTGAAGTTCAACAAGCCCAAGTGCAAGATGCTGCCTCTGGGTCAGGGCAATCCCAGAGAGGAGAAGAACTGGAGAATACAGACGAGAGAACTCCCTGAGAGCAGTCCTGCAGAAAAGGGCTTGGGGGTTCCTGTGGATGGAAAGCTGGACATGAGCCAACCGTGCACAGTCGCAGCCCAGAAATCCAACTACATCCTGGGCATCGGCTTTGGTGAGATCCCACCTGCAGTGCTGCATCCAGCTCTGGGGTCCTCAGCACAGGAAAGACATGGACTTGTTGGAGCAAGCCCAGAGGAGGCCACGAAGATGCTCAGAAGGCTGCAGTCCCTCGCCTGGGAAGCCAGGCTGAGAGAGCTGGGGTTGTTGGGCTTGGAAAAGAAAAGGCTCCAGGGAGACACTACTGAGGCCTTCCAGTACTTAGAGGGGGATTATAAAAAAGAGACAGAACGGCTTTCTACGAAGGCATACAGTGATAGGACAAGAGGAAATAGTTTTAAACTAAAAGAGGGTAGATTTAGATTAGATATTAGGAAGAAGTTTTTCCCTGTGAGGGTGGTGAGGCCCTGGCACAGGTTGCCCAGAAAAGCTGTGGCTACCCCATCCCTAGAATTGTTCCAGGCCAGGCTGGATAGGGCTTTGAGCAGCCTAGTCTAGTGGCAGGTGTCCCTGCCCACGGCACAGCGATGGGGATGAGGTGATCCCTCAGGTCCCTTCCAACCCAAACAATCCTGTTTCATTTTCCTTAGAATTTTTAATTAAATACTTTTTCGTTTTAGTTATTTTAACTACTCACATTTCAACCCGCGAGTTCCTCCCTTTCACCCTTCCCGGGGGCTCAGCACGGGTTTACATCCCACGGCGGAGACCCGCGAGCCCCGTCGGGACTGAGAACCGGGATGGGTCCCGGGCGGAACAGGCTGATCCCGCCCCGCCCCGTTACCGGTGATTTGCATACCCAGGGTGCCCCGCGGTCCCGCCGCTGTCCGGCGATGCGGCCGCTGTCCCGCCCGGGCTGTCAGGGCCGCCCGGTGTGTGCGCCCCGCGGGGCCGGGCCGGGCCGGGGCTGCGGGACCGGGAGAGCCGGGCGGGCCCGTGTCACCCTGACGTGTGGGGCGTGGGGCGGGCGGCGGCAGCGTCGGGAAGGGAGGGAGGGGTATACTCTGGTTTCTCTTCAGATCGTATAAATCTTTCGCCTTTTACTAAAGATTTCCGTGGAGAGGAACAAGTACGAGTGTCGAATAATTTTTTGAGGCTCCATTTCGGTGGAGCTATCCCTGTATTTGTAAAAAATAGAACTCAGCCACAGGTTAATAACTATCTTTCTAAGCACCTTGCACTTCAGGTTGTCTGTGTGCAATTAATGAGAATATAGGGTGTGCCCGGTTTACCAGGTAAACTATATTCTTGCTGATCATTCTGCCATGTTGTTTCAGTACAGTCCGCTCAGTACAGACAGGGTGAGGATTTCTCGGGGAGCCACCCCAAGATGTGCCCCATAGACTAGGGACCTGTCCAGAAACTTGCCCCATGGGCTGGGGACGCTGCCCAACAGCCTGCTCCGGTCACGAACCATCCTGACTGGATGGGGGAGTAGGAAGAGATGGGCCGAGTGTTAAAGGAATATTCTGCCCCAATAGCTTGGGAGCTTTCCCCCGACAGAACCCAGACCCCCTGGTAAGATAGCAGAGTGCTGGAGGGAAAACCGCTCTATCAGCCTCAGAGAGGGCCAAATCGGCGCACCTGTTGGAACCTCCTGTGCTCGCCTTCACACCGACAGTGGCTGGGGCGGCCCCGGCGCCCCCGCCCACCCCAAGCCGCGCTACGACTTCCGCCCCCGGCAGCCGCAGTGCTGCCGGCGCCTCGGGACTACATCTCCCGGCAGGCCCCGCGTCCGACGGCCGACAATCCCCGGGGTGCCGCGGGGGTGGGGCCTGACGGGAGATGTAGTCCCGCGGCGGCTCCCGGCAGCCCCCGCGGCACGCCGGCGCGCGGGGTTTAAACCGGCGGCGGTTGCCGGGCGGGTGTTTCGCTGCTGGGGCGGGACGCGGGTCCTGTCCCGGTGCCTGTGCCATGGACTCCCGCCTGTGCCGCAATGTCTACCCCGGCCTCGTCGTTAACATCCAGCGGAGCAATGGTGAGGGGGGGGTGGGGAGCAGGGAGTCTGCGGGGTCCCGGCTGCCTCCGCCCGCGGGGCTCCCGGCGGCGTGGGGCGGTCGGGCTGGGGCTCAACGCCGGCCTTTTCCAGGTTTAATCCACAAGGCGACGGTGAGCGCGGTGAAAGAGGAGCAGTGCTCCGTGCTGGTGGAGTGGTCTGAGGCCGGCATCACCAAGGGCAAGGAGGTGAGTGGCAGCTGCCCGCGGCCCCTTCCTTCCCGGGGCGCTCCAACGCTCCCGGCGGGATGTGCCTCGGAAAGCCCGGGCTCCTGCACGGCCCAGCTCGGCTCTGCCCTTCTCCCCGCTGGGTGGGCAGCGCTTGTCCCACGCTGCTACCGCTGGCTCCGTGCTGTGCTCGTTCTATACGTAATTAAAGCCATGACACTGACGTGCCAAGGTGGGATGCGAAAGCTGCGGTGCCAAAGCCTTTCAGAGGGAGCAAGGGAGTGTTCGGCCTCTCGCTCGTTTTGAATGTCCCGAAGTGCCAGTTTTTCAGCTCTGTGGGCTGTTTGTTGGCTTTCTGTGCTTTCCGATTTCCCTTAAAACGTGCCACTGCTAAAATACCACGTTAAGAGGGCTGGGTTTGATTTCCTGAATCTCTGCACTGATATGAAGTAAATACTATGTGGGATGAGATGGGGTTGGGGCATTTGAGGCTGACGTAGCTGAAATACCGATAGTGAACAAAATCTCCCCTCGTCACTGAGCAAATGAGCTTTTCCTCCTGGTTTCCCTGGAAATGTGCTCTCTGGAGTTCAGTGAAAATCTTAAAAGTTGCTATTGGTTGGTTCTTTGAAACCAAAGTGTGCATGTGCCTGCTGCATTCAAGTATAAACAACGTGAAAAATCAGATGTAATCTCTGGCTAAATTGCATGTATGTGTTAGGATATTAAATCTTAATGAAGGCTCTTCGAAATCCAGTGATTTTCTTATGTGTTTATGAATATACACTGTGCATGTGCTTACAGACACTTAGAAATTATATTGTCCATGTACATGTTTCTGAGCTAATTCACTTTCAAATTAGCTGCTAACCACTTCCACATAAACCAAATTTTATAGATTGCTTTACTTATGCTAAAAATAGTATCTTTGCACTTTACAGAGCCTATTTGATATTTTTCTCTTTTTATGGACTCTTCTTTTATTTAAGTAATTTGGAAGTTAATTGATTAGTCAAGAACTTCCTGGAGTGGTGCTTGCATTACCCTGTTGGGTGAATTCCAGTTGCAGCTGCTGCAATACCAGAATTTTTGGCATACAGGTGCTTTCAAGCTCTTCAGTGGGGAAAGGTTTGGAAAATGGAATGGAGAGTGACTTGCTGCGTTTGTGCTGAGCCTGCCCTTGGCTGCCTGCTCCTTCCCTGCCTGTGCCAGGGTGCTCTGGTGAAGGCAGGATTATCATTACAGGGGAGGGTTAGTCAGGAGGTGATAACTGGCCCCAGGTGCAATTGCTTGCAATAGCAGGTGAAGATGCAGGTGAATTAAGTCACGGATTAAATGCTGAAACCTTCATTTCCTAAGGTCTAAGCAGCTCTTTGACGTTTATTTCAGTAAGTGCAATCACACAGTAAACACTTAATGCTCTCCTAGCACAGAAGTCTCAGAGCTGCTGAGATTTACTAAGATTAGCAGTGAGAGATTAGACCAGTGGATACCAAATGGGCTTTGCCCATCTCTTCAGAAGTGCTCTATGGCACCTGCAGAGCTGTGTGGTGTTTGGCAGATGAGGGTAAATGGCTTAACTAGCACATTTCACTGGCATATTTGCATGTACCAGACTGTTCAAACAGAATAGGAACAGAACTACTGTCTTGCCCTTCCAGGCAACTTTAACTTAACATCTGTCAGATGGTGGGTAAGGCTTGTTTGCCTGTACTGAAAGCCAGGAGTAGGAAAAAAACCATGTGCTGAGCGGTAGCAGCAATATTCCACTCTGTAAAAACCTGCCTTTGCTCTTGCAGATTGGTATTAATGATGTGATAGCAGTAAATCCTGAATTATCAGAACTACCTGCTGCTGATGCGAAAGAGAACGTCCCTTTGCAAGACAATGTAACTGTACAGGTAAGTGCTTTAAAATAATTTAGTCTCTCCTGAGGTACTAAAGCGTCAACAGCATAGGTCTTGTTATTTATAATACCCTCAGTCTTATAGTCTGAGGTCTCTAACATGCCTTTTCTGTCTCATAGTTAGGCTTTGGTCAGAAATTCTTGTTGTATCAATGTTGCCCTGTAGAGCTGTGCTAGGTGTTTGCTGCTTACTCTGATTGCTTACAGTATTCGTTGTTTTTCAGAAACAGAAGCGTAGAACAACCCTTTCAAAAATTCCTGCTCCACGGGAAGGTGAGCAAGTGGGTTTTTTTTTTTCTTTCCTCTCCTATGTCCCTGTGGAACAGTGCTGGTCTTTCATAATATTCTACTTCAGTGCATCATAAGGCTTCTCATTCAGTGCTAACAAAGAGGAGACCACTTCATACTGACATTTTGGACTCCTGTGGGCAGTAACTTTGCTGGCAGGTTGCTGTCCTGTTCCCACAAGCTGGGGTTTGTTGACGTGTTGTCCTTTTCTGCAGCATTGCTGTAGTTATCCCGTGCTTTAAATGCCACTAGGCAGTTACTGCTGCAGTGAATTTTAAAGTTCCTTATGGAGTTTTGCAAATGCCACAAACAACAGAAGCTAAGTGGCAGTTATTAAGATTAAAGGTGTCAAAAGGAGAGTGGAAAGGACACAAAAGAAATAGCAGTGACAAGTGGATGTCTCGTTTTCACACGGTTTCCCTAGACAATAACTAGAGCTTTATGCTTGGAGACGTGTCAGAGCAGGCAGCCAAAGTGCCAGCTGGTGTGCCCCAGCTCAGAGATTGTGTGTCAGTACAATGTGGTGAGCAAAGCCAGAAGAGAAGATAGAGATGTCAGTGTGGGATTGCTAAGGAATTGTTCTTCCTGAGGTGTCAGGAGTCAGAAAACTCCCATGTTTTTATCTTCTTTTAGCTTATTAGTTGACTCTTTTGGCTTTTTGAACTGCAAGTGGCAGCATTTACAGGTCTATTTGTAATACACTTCCTGATGCTGAGGTTGAATATTTACTAATTTAATGATTCTCTTAAAGTGCATAGTTAGCCAAAACTTGTGCTTCTCCATACAATTGAGCTGTAAACAGAACATCTGGGCTTGTCTGGCCTCTTCTGTTGCATGCAATGCAAGACAGGGAAGCTGGTCCCAGAAGACAACAGTACAAATCCCCTGGCATGGGAGAGGCAGGAGTAGTCCAAAAAGCTTAATGTGTAAAGAGCTGTTCTGTACCAGAGTATCCTGACTTTCCTCAAATTCAGAGAACTCCATAAATTTTGTGAACTGACAAGAAAAACGATGCAGTAAAGTCATGACTGTCTACAGTCAGGTCAGTTAGTGGAGCTGGATAGCCAGCTGGGAAAACAAAGGTGTGTTAATCCAGTCACTGATGGAAAGATGTCCTTGCAAAGGTCACAGCTCTCCTGAAGTATAGAATCTAATTGCAAATTTGAAATACCTGTTGCCTGTCCTACTGGAGGTCCCTGAAGACCTGCTCAGAGCACAGGAGAGAAGCAGTTTTCAGTATTCCTGAAATAATTTTTGTTGTTATAACTAGCTAATGCCCACCAGCGCCAGAGTATCTGTCCTGTTGCAAACCTTGCACTGCACCAATTAGAAAGCTAACACTGGCTTCAGACTTGCTCTTAGACTAAACAAATTAAAGAAGATCAGGAGGTGTCTGCCTCCATCTGACCCAGGAAATGAGAGAAGTAGAAGCACTGCTTTCAGAATTCATTAAGAAATAGATATTGCCTCAGTCCTACAAATCAGTAGGAATTTTGGAGGATGCTGAATATCCACACATACCAGAATCACTCAAATCAGACCCATTTAGATGCAGCAAATCCTCCAGTTAATCTGCCTGTCCAGGAGCACCAGCATTTACAGAAACAGTGCTGCTGTGTGTGTGATGAGAACAGGTTTGGGCATGTGTGACAACAGCAAATGGAATAAAAATGCCATTCTTGAGTATAATGAAACTGATGCTTTTTGTTTCTAAAATTGTAGCAGTCACATCTAATGTTTCTGCAGATGAGCAGAAGATTCCAGGTAAAGAGTTAACAGACAGAAGCACTGAATTTTGTGGGTATGGTTCTAAGGAATTTCATTCAAAATTTAAATGAACACTTGGTTTCAAACAGATCTGGTGTCCTTTGAAATCATGGTGATTAATTCTGGTAATTGCTAGTCATGACAGGTGAAGGGAGTTCCATCATGCACATCATGATTTCTTTTTTCATATAAGATTTGCTTTTTGGTTTCTTACATATTTTTGAGGGGAATGTTCCAATCCTTCCCCTAGAAAGCTTTCCAATGGACTTGGTCTCTCAATGAAAGAAATACCTTGGTGTGTGACAATGGAGAGTTGCCTACAAAAGGACCTTTTTCAAAGGTTTTATGTTGTGATTATACAGAGTCTTTCAGCTGAATTCAGTGTTATGGGGCTCCCAGTTCACTGTGCACCACACACAGTCTGTGTGTGGGTGCCCTGAAGGTGGGTGGGCGCGTGGTGCCCTGTCACCATCACAGAGTTAATTCACAAGTGTGAAGTGCCCTGCAAGTGTGAAGCTTCAGAGGCTTTCCCAGTTCTGACTTGTAACTTCCTCCTTCCTAAGTATCAAGATGCTGCAACTGCCATAACCTTATGTAAATCCTTAGTGGTATCTGAGAGAAATTCATTGGAATTGCAAACCTGGAATGAACTGTTTGCTTTTCTATAGTGGTGTATTTAATGATCACTTTTCACCCACCTGCACTGTTTTGTCCAGCACTTTGTTATTGGAAAAGGTCCTTTTAACCACACCTTATTCCTCACTGTTCTGCACTTTGTGAGCACTCCATCAA